TTGGCACTGGTTTTCAATTGCATCATGTTTCTGACTACAGTATCTCTCTCTCATAATTCTGGTAGAAATAGGCTTTTGAGACAGAATTCCTTTTGGAGTATAGAGTATGTTGTCAGGGCCAAGATAAAGGAAGTCAGCAGCAGAAGCAGAACAAAACAGTTAGATCAAAATGTATTTTGCCTCTGCTGATGCAGTGCAGGCTGATGTTTTGCACGTGTGGAAAAATCAAGGAGAAAAAACCAACTGTGGTATCCTGCCTCTGCATGTAATGTGATTACCATCAAAGAGTTAAATGGAAGCAGCTGAAGGAGCAAATCCAAAACCACCCTGAGACACCATGGCAACTGGCCCCTCACAGGGACAGCAGGAAGGGGGGCTTGGCCGTTTCAAAATTAAAATTGCTTTGAATGACCTTCTGTTTGCTGAGTGCTGGGTGCTTGCTTAACACCTGATGGCCACAAGGAAAATTATAAGATGTTCAATGCATAGTACAACATACGCTGTAAGCCTGAGCCTTTAGGAAACTGGAGAGAAAGAAAAGATTGTGGAAAATGCTTAAATATTTGGATACCACAGATGTATTTATGCAGCAGGATGGAGGCACTGTTTACATATTGTCCTTGGAGTGTAATTACAAGAATGTAAGATCTTGGGAATCAGAAGTATGTCTCTGTTCTGTAAGAATGGTGAATAATAATAGTGCTGTGTGTATCTCTGAAATTTAAAAGTAATTTTGTGTACACACTTTGTTCACAGCAGGGATTTGAGTAGCATTTTCATGTCAGCTTCTACATTATTTCTAGAAAGGTTTTATGGCAGAGAACAATGCTTTTCAATAAAATACAGATTTCACATCTGGTGCAGCTAATATATACTGTTCTGAAAAATGTCCCTGATGAGTTATATCCGCTTAAAATAAAAATACTTTTTCAGAATAATACATGCTCTATTTCTTCTTGAAATTTCCCCTGCAAAAATGAACCGTCTGGATTATCATGGCTCTTAAGGATATCTTTTTTGTCGCTTTCTTTTAGAATGATTTATATATAACATTTACAGAATTTTACATTTTAAAATAAGAGGCTAAACTAGACCTGTAAAGAAATAATTTAAGTCTGCTAGTTGGGAAGGGTAATGTAAATTGTGATGTATTTTCAGATTGACCATGGAGATGCACCATCCGAAGCTAACAATGAACCTAGGCCAACACCAGCAGAAAATGGAGTAAATTACACTGCCTCTCTTACACCGAAACCAGCAACTCAGGTTGTCCACAGCCAACCAGCACCAGGTAAAAAAACACAAAGGAAAACAAAAAAAGTCCTATCTTTTCAAAATACATCTGGATAATAATTCTTCACGTGCTTTGCATTTAAAGAACAAGGGTGGGGGGTGTGTGTGTTTGGTTGGTTGGTTTGTTTTAGTAAAATAGGTAGAAATTTTCCCACTCTTTCAGTATGCTGTTAAGGCCAATCTTCTTCAAATATACAGGTATCTTCTATTTAAGAGTTGCTTTTGTGGTGGAACTGAAGTTTATTACAAACAAGAAAATTTGCTGGGGTTTTTTTGGTGTTGTTGCAAGTGCAGGAATCTCTTTAATTTAAAATTATTTTTACAAATATGTCTAATTTATGCATGTAGTTACATCTTATTCCACACACAAAATACAGTCTTAAATACTTACAAATTTTGTATTGACATACCTCCTATAACAAATGCTTGTTAAACCACAGGGTTTATAATTTTATGACTGCAGTCTTTATAGGCTTGGTCTAACTCCAGCTCTCCCAAGGAGCTGGAGTCATCCTGTTTACAGAAATTTTGCACTGACGTCATAATATAGGGCAGTTGTACTAACCATCAGCCTAATACCACTTAAATGACTTGTATGAGTGGTGTCAGTGAGTTCAATAGCATCCTCCTCATAAGTAGAACAACAAAGCTCAGGTGCTTGTTGCTACTTGTCTGCTCAAGAGATGTGTTTTCTCAAATGATTAATAAATGCCATGTCAGTGTATGTCCTGTGTCACGTGCCATGTTTTAATATGCAATCAAGCAGCACAATAATGGCTGTTGCTTTAAAAGAATTAGAACTAGTCATCTCTCTTACCTCTAGGTTCGGTGAAAGCACCTGCAAAGACAGAAGATCTCATTCAGAGTGTCCTCACAGGTAATAAATACACAGTTTACACTGCACAAATGATACAACTTTTTGTCAAGAGAAACATTTTTTATGAAATAGGCCATCTGGCTTAGACATTTCTTTGAGTGATTAGGACTGCAGTAACTCATAGAAGATGTACATACCATGTTTTCTTCCTCAGCTTTGAAGTTACTAAATGTTTCAGCACGTTTCATGAGATCAGTATTGGGTGTCAACATGGAATTTTTTAAAAATACCCCATTGTTGTAGTTTCATAAGCACAACGTTACCATTTAATGCAGACAAAAGACCAGCATTATTATGAGAACATAAGATAAATTTGCTCTGAATATTGTGAATAGTAGTGAAACCATTTTATCTTCATTAGCCTTGCAGTGTTCCCATTGCTCCTTGTCGTGGTTTAATCCCAGCCAGAACTAAGCCCCACACAGCTGCTTGCTCACTCCACCCCATTGGGATGGGGGAGAGAATCAGAAGAGTGAAAGTGAGAAACTCATCGGTTGAGATAAAGACAGTTTAGTAAGTAAAGCAAAAGCCACGCATGCAAGTGAAGCAAAATGAGGAATTCATTCACCACTTCCCATGGGCAGGCAGGTGTTCAGCCACCTCCAGGAAAGCAGGGCTCCATCACGTGTAATAGCGACTTGGGAAGACCAAATGCCATCACTCTGAACGTCCCCCCCTTCCTTCTTCTCCCCCCAGCTTTATCTGCTGAGCATGCCGTCACATGGTGTGGGACATCCCTTGGGTCAGTTGGGTTCAGCTGCCCCGGCTGTGTGCCCCCCAACTCCTTGTGCCCCCCAGCCTGCTCACTGGTGGGGTGGGGTGAGAGGCAGAAAAGGCCTTGGCTCTGTGCAAGCACTGCTCAGCCATAATGAAAACATCCCTGTGTTATCAACACTGGTTTCAGCACGAATCCAGAACATAGCCCCATACTAGCTACTATGAAGAAAATTCACTCTATCCCAGCCGAAACCAGCACACTCCTACAAAACTGAAATTATTATTACATTCAGCAAACTGGGCTGATCATGCCCTGCTGTTCAATTGGGAGTCACGTCCTCCAGCTTGGAGTTAGAGTTTAGATTGCAAATCTCATAACTCAGTTTATCTTACAGTCATTCTTCTACATTAGAACTATTCCATGTCCAAATCTTGTGTAGGCCTACATTTAGGTGTGGAAAACAGGTAAGACATTTGAAATTCTGCATGTTGTTTGCCTCTTATTCAGTCTCCCGCATGTACAGTAGAAAGAGGCTGGCCTGGATAGTGGAAGTACCTGCTGGCCTCATACAGTCAGTCTGTTGTCTGGGAAGGGTCTTCAGTCTGGCTTCCCCAGAGCTGTGACCCCAGATCATGCAAGTAATCATTCCCTCCAGTGCTGCTTTTTTTTTTTTTTTAATTGCTGATTTAGGATGAGCTCGTGCAGGTCAGGCTAGCAGACCCTGAGCTCAAGCTGTCATCTGGGTTCACAGAGCAGGGCATCCTTCATAGCTGCTTTTGGAGTGACAGCACTGGAGGGCAGTTCTCAGTATTTAGCTACCAATCCTTTGCTGGCCTGGCAGCCAGGTAGCCATGACTCCTCTGATGCAGGGTCTCCACCAAGAGAGAAGTGAAGTCTCTCCCAAGATGCCATGATGATACTGGGACAGATGCCTCCAGCCAGTGCCTGGGTCAAGGCAGGAGAGCAGGCAGCAGAAGTGCTGTTGGTGAAGGGGGTTTAGGCATCAGCATGTTATGTAGTCCATCCAGAGAGAAGGGAGACATTAAGTGTTGGTACAGTGGGTATAAAAAATATCTGTTATCATGTCTGTGTCAGATCATGTTTTTATATGTTGGGCTGTATGGAATCTTTGCATCTGAAAGGGGTTGAGGAAAGAAAGTACATGGTTTTTATTTTGCTACACATCTTGGTGTTCTAAATTTTCATCTCACTTCTTACTCATACGTCAATTACATTTGCCACAGTATTTTCAATCTGGTTAGTTTATTTCCGGGTAAGTCTACTCAGTTTAAGCTAGCACTTTTCACTTACCAGCAGTAAACAAGCATGCTTTGTTTCATTCCTGTTAATGGCAATTTCTGGGTTCTCTGATTGAAATAGTACATTATTAGAAAATTGAAGTGGCTTTTGTCATTATCATTGTAGAAGTGGAAGCACAGACTATTGAGGAGCTAAAACAACAGAAGTCTTTTGTTAAGCTTCAGAAGAAGCACTACAAGGAAATGAAGGACCTTGTAAAGAGGCACCACAAGAAAACCACTGACCTTATCAAAGAGCACACTGCAAAGTATAATGAAATTCAAAATGACTACCTGCGACGAAGAGCAGTTTTAGAAAAAACTGCAAAAAGAGACAGTAAGAAAAGGTATGTTGAATGTAGCTTTCCTGTTCTTGGTATTGGAGATCTTTACTCAAGTCTTCTTTTATCATAGACAATTAATATGGAGGTGACATTAGAGCACAGAAAAAAATCAAAAGCAGCAGGATTCCTAGGTAAAATGAAGTCAGGGCCTTTGATATGGAAATCATCAGAAAAAGCCCTCTCCATGATGTGCTGCTGCTCTGGTAGAAGCCAGCCAAGTTGTTCGCCATGTTATACCTCTT